GGGATCTCTCCCAGTTTGTCCAGGTGACTATCTTCCAAATTTCTTGGCCTTGGCGAGTGAGCATGCCCAGTGTTGCGTCCATGTGTTGAGGCCTCTCAGTTGATCGCATTTATGACTGGGGTCTTCTTTAGTGCCAATGCGTTTCAGTGTAGCTTGGACTTCCTCAAATCCCATAAGTCCTTGATCATATACTACCTCCTGAACCAGTTCTTTTTGGTACAATGACTGTGGTGTTCCCATATTTTGCCTACTGAATTTTTCAGTATTACAGCGTTCGGCTTGGATTTTTGCCCCCTCTGTTCTTTCAGTGTGAAAATTGCTAAGTGCTGCCCTTCCCTTTGGTTTTCCAATTTCAGGTCTTAGTAAGTTTTTGTTTAATGATGCTTTACTTTGTCTAATTAACCAGTATTCTTCATCGTTTGCTTCGCTTTCACTTATTGTGTGAAAGTATTTCTTCCATTCACTATATAGTAAATTTCTTCTGACATCCTTTTTTTTTCTTCCCTCTCTTTTTTTCCCCCTTTTTCCATGTTTGATAACATCCCACAATGCCTCTGGTCATTTAATATTCAACACATCAAGTCTCTTCTTGATATAGTCTCTTAATTCAGGTGTCATATACTCAAGGGGACATTTTGGTTCTCTGACTTTTGAAAATTTTCTGCAGCTTCAGCTTGACTTTGCATTTGTGCAATTGATGGTCTGTTCTCAATGAACTTCTAACCATGCTCTAACTGATGATGTAAGGTCGTGCACCTGGTCACGGAGTATGCCTTTGAAAAAAAGATATGAATAATGAATAGGTTGTTAGTTTTGCAAAATCTATCATATGCCCTCCTGCATCATTTCTATCACCAAAACCATACTTTCCAACTACTGGTCTTGCTCCTTTGTTTTCAACATTCCCTTGGCAGGCTCTGCAGCATTGTGTCCAGGGCCACTGGAACAGCCCAGCAAGGCTGCTGAGTGGATGCCTACGCTTTATCCTAGACTATGGGCTATAATTCAGAAAGTTGTTCATTGCCAAGGGCGTGCTGAGTATAACATTTCTTCTGAAAAAGGAGTGATAGGCCAATTAAATTTGGGAACTTATGCTTAGAGGGTTTCTGAAGCATTAAGAATTTACAGAAGTAGACAGTTTCATCTCTCTCCTTCTCTGGTCTTGCAGTCCAACACTTGACTGGACTGTGTCCCCAGGGCTCCTTGTTCCAGTCCCTAGTCATGGTCCTCTTGATTGTGGGTGGTGGCCAAATTATTACTATCTCTTAAAATCCCTGTGTATATCAAGGGGCACAGTCATATTATTTAAACACACATAGATACACATAGAGAACTATTACCAGTGTATCATCATCATGATGTAAATATAGGGGGTGAAGGAAAAAACGTTTCCACAGTAAATGTGGTTTTCAACCTGAATGGAAGACATCCAAATAGGATATTAAAAAAGAGCTCTAGAATCTGCCCCGCCCCAAATAAGAATGCGTACTGCTGATAAAAATTATTTCAGGTTAGTTTATATTTGACTTTATTCACCATTAGCTGCTCAAGACAGAGCATTATCTGAAGCAGCTTGTAACAAGAGTAGTTGATGAATTTTAGCAGACATGATTTCCATCCTGAACAAACATACTATAAAAGAGAATGACAAAATATTTTAAAACTCTGTCATGCTTGACAAGCTAGGGATGGAATAAGTCTACAGTGACTTTCATGTTCTCTAACAAGACCAACCTTGTTTTGAAAAAGTGGGTTGGGAGAGGTTTCTTCTCTGCCTTTTTTCTTTGGCAACAGCCTGCTTCCCTGTACTTGATTGGGCTGAGGATGTTGGTAACTTCCAAAGAAACGCCTTAATAGATCTAGCCAGGTCAACTGATACACAGCTTGACTAGGACAGCGCTCTCCTCGTGTGAAGTAGAGAGGTAGGACATGGTTCTGAAGTCACCCTGCCAAGGCTGCTATCAGTTTCTCCCACCCTCTCTGCTGCTTCTGGGAATTCCAAGTGTACCAAACAGAAGGTTCTGTAATGCTTACCAAAGGGCTAAATGTGTTTAGATGGGAGGCAACTTTGTGTGTGTAATACTTCTCACCTACCTCCCACTCTCCGCCCCCATGCAAGCAAGCTCCTAATGAATTCTAGGTGTGAACACCAAGTTATTTCACTCTGACTCAACTTTCCATTCTTGGGTTTGATAAGATTGGGACTAGTGAAATCCGTTTGATAATACCACACCAAATCTTTTAAGCACCTCTTAAACGTTCAGTAACTAGATGGAGAGGGTAGATTCAAAAAGCAAAGCTTGCCGTATTTCTCTTCAACTAAGTACACCAAAATAAAATTCCCTTGATAAATACACTGCTTATTGGGCACGTATTACATCCCCAGCACTGTTCAAATTGCATCCATTAACCAGCAAAACACTCATAGCAATTCATACTCTAAAGACTGAAAATTTAAGCCTGGAGAGGTTAAGCAATGTGCCCAAAGTTTCACCCAGCCAAGGGCAAAGACAAGTTTGAAGAATTAACCTTCACGCTATACTGACTCTCAGTTTAAGTAAATTCAAAGGGCCCCTGATGTATTTAAAGCAAGATATACTTTACCTAAAATATACCAACCTTTATTAGAGCACAAGAACTGATGGCTGAAAGCATGATGTGCCTGTAGAAACCAGTGCTGTAATTTCAGGATCTTCCTTCCAACTAATGAAGGGCAATTTCTTTGCAAGAGAATTAAGCCCAGAATTGTGCAAGGGTTGAAACGCTCTCTGAAATCAGGCGTACACCCACTCTGGCATGCTGTGTCAAGCACCCAGGGCATGAGGGAGGAACAGCAGGCCGGGATGAATGGCTGCACATTCAACATTGAGCCTCAGCCATCCATGTGGTTAGTTTCCACATGGACATTTACATTGCCTTTATGTGGATCAAGTTGGTGTTTATTTGCCAAGCATGTTATTTAGATCTAGGAAAAGCCTCGCATGGCCCCAGGGAAGTTTCACAACCATAACGTAACTAGGCTGCCCAACTTACTTTCTATCATGGGGTCCCCAGCGTATTTGACACACACCACCTCTACTATTTCTTTGACTTTGAGGAAACAGCAGCCTCTCCTCTGGCGGTAGTTCCCAGTTGGGACTTGTCACAGCGAGACACACACACACACACACACACACACAACCATTTGGTGGTGTCTTATTGAGAAGGAGAAGCACACGATGCTTCCCTGGTCCTGACTTGTGCAGACGGAGGAAAGCGGGGAGCCAGAGGTTATCTTTACGAAAAATCCAGCTTTTATTGCATCACCTAACGTAGCACAACCTGCTGCACTGATGAAATTGTGTTCTTGGTTTAAAAGGGCAATTGTTTGCCTGACTTCGTGCTCAGTGAAAACATCCCCCCAATCTTGTTCAATCATTGCTCTCATTTCAGATTTTTATGGCAGTGCAGTTTACCAGCCCTCATTTCTTTACGTTTCATTCATTTTCCTTGTATTGATGATTAATGGCGGATGTCGAATGTTAGAATGAGCAGGCATCAGCAATTGCAAGATCATAATTAGTTTAGCTGACGAGGGCCTCTGATAGCACTTGCATCTGGATGGAAAAATTGCCCTATAGGGAACTGGCTGCTCACCAGGTCTTTTTAGTGATACATTGTGAAACACCCGATGAATCAAATGCCCTTTCAATGCCAAGAAAGTGTTCCAGTCTTGAAGCCAAAATTATGTCTGCAGAAAGCTTTCCGTTTGAAATGGCTCAGAGTACAATTATAACCATTGTGTTTTCTTGGCAGGGTACCACTCTTCTACAGTATAGACTCAAGCTCAATAAATTGCCTACATTTTACGAATCCTCGAAATTTTGACTTACTGTGTTTGTAATTTTAAATTTATAATAAAATTGGGTTCCAGCAAGACCTTTTTCCCCCATCCCTTATCTAAAGTTTATATTTTATCTTTAATGGCTTTGCTTCCTAGAGAAAGGAGGGCTGAATTTTTTTTTCCTGTTTTTTTTTTTTTTGCTGCAGGAGAATTCCATTTCCTGCCTGTTAGCATTTGTGCCTACAAATCCCAGTACAGCCTGACTTTTGTTTAAATCAGGAGTGTCACGAAATCACGACTTGGTTGCCAGAACGGGCCGACTGAGCAGTACTAATGATCTACTTTTAAATATTCTTAGATGACTTGTAAAAAATCTGGTGATTAAAAACTGCCGACTACAAAAATCGATTTGTGTTTGGAAATCACTTGGGATGTCCGAGTCTGAGTCAAGTGGGATAAATTGCTGTTGGTGGGGTGGTGGTGTCTGGGTCGTGGAGGCCACCCCATAAGGGTTCTCATTAGCAATATCGTCGTTCTTATTGGCAGACGTTGTTATAGGCCCTCTCGGCTTTGAGAAATGGGGTTTTGTTTTTGTTGTGGTTGTTGTTTCTCTCTTCCTGATTTTACCATCACCAACCAAAAACATCAGAGTCAAATGCCTTGTATGCTCTCAGTTACATTACTTAGATGGCATACAAAGAAGGTTACAAATCACAGTGGATTCTCAGATGGCTCCCAGGCCGCGTTTGTTCCAAGCTGAACTATATTTTAAAACCCAGGTAGCATGTGCCCCCCTCGTTTCCAAAGCGTATTGAACATATCGCCTGTCTTTCCGCTTACGCTGTGACACTTTCAAAAGGTATATTTCAGGACCCCGCATTGAGGCACCATCATGAAAGACTCAGGACCCAAAGTTCAAAAAGTTAAAGCTGTTTCTGTGAAAAAGCCTTTGGTGTTCCCCACACCTCATCCATCACTGTAGGGTTAATTATAATGAAAATCAGTGGTGCCTATTAAAGACAATTGAACCTGACCTCATTATGGGCGGTGTGGTTTTATACTGTCATTGTTGCTGGGCCAAAGACCAAACTCCGGGGTGGACTGGGTCTAACTCCACTGGTCACGTGACTCACCTCTGACCCTGTGGGCTTCTTTTTTCGCCCCCCTCTCATTTCAGAGGCGAAGAGGCTCGGGTGTTTTCTGTGCCAATTGCCTGACCACCAAGACCTCTCTCTGGAGAAAGAATGCCAATGGCGGATATGTATGCAACGCGTGTGGCCTCTATCAGAAACTTCACTCGGTAAGAACCTGCTGGTTTGTTCCAGGAAACGCTTTATGAGGCAGCTCTGGCCTGCTCTGTGGTTTGATAGGTACCATTCCGTGGCCTGCCCCTGCAGGGTTGTTTCAGAACAGCCACTCGAGTGCACAGGTGATTAATGGTGGAAAGGGCTTGGCTGTGATGGGGAGATACGTGTGAAATCATTAGTAATGCGTCATGCTTCTTTTGATATAAAAGAGGAAAATGATTGATTTCTGCAATCTTCACTGACAGATAACCCCGTAAGGGTTATCAGAATTCAGTGAAATTATTTTGGTAAAATCTCAAACCCAAACTCAACTGCCATTGAGTCGGTTCTGACTTTCTTCAAAGTTTCAAAAATGTGCAAACATTGTAAACAATAAAGTACGAAAAGACCCTGGAGCGTAAGTGAAATGCAGGACAGGGAAGCGCTTCTTAGGGAACAGTGGAGCCGGGAAAGACAAGAGAGGGGGGCTGCTTCCAGAGACCAGCTGAAGATCAGGCCCCACCCCAGACGGCTGAGTCCAGTTCCTTTGTGTGCAGGGAGATACTTACGTAGGTTCCTTGTAGCTTAAGATCCCTTGCTACCTTCTCTTTCTTTCTTTTTTTTATGGCTCACAGAAGTGCTATAATTTTTCTCGAAAAAATTTTAGTTACAATTCTCTATCACATGTAAACTCATAAATCCTCATCTGAGTAGGCATTTAACTTCCTGATGGATGGAGAATTTTTAGTGTAGCAAGTTTATCTGAAGACAAGAGCCGAATTTGAAATGGGAACACCTATTTAGTACCACAGCTCATAGTGAATAGATTATAGCTACCAGAGAATACAATTTTAGATTTTTTTAAAATTCTCATAAATTAACCATTGGAAGCACTTTTTTTAAAGTGCATGATGCCCACAATATTAATTGGTGATAAACTGTCAAAACCTTCGTTATCAGCATGTAGCTAGTAGAATGATTCCCACACCCCTTATCAACCTACTTTAAAAAAAACTCTCACTATTCAAGTACACCAATAAGTAAGCCTCCATTTAATGAGCAATGACATTAATGATTTTAATTGAACTCTAACCAATCAGAGACCAAGAATTAATTAGTCTGCTGCTCTGCTAGTTTATGAGAATTTAAACCACTGATATAAACACAATTCTTTAATAACATTATTTTATTATTCATCTGTCCTGATAGTAGATTCAATTTTAGGTTGTTAAGAATCACAACTGAAATGCACAGAGGCTGCCTTGCTCACATTTCATGTCAAAGATTGCCCTCAAAATTATGGAACTTTAAAAAAAAGCTATAATGTAAGTTTCAAGTTTCTCTATAGCACAGAAATAAAATAATACACATTTTAAATATAATTGATGAACTCTATACATATTGAAAATCCTGAACAAACTAAATGTACAAAAGCCATGGTATTTTGCATTTGGGCACAAGCGATGGAATTGCTAATAACAAGCAGATGATTTCCTTCCTCTTTCTTCCAAATACCTCTGTGACAATAGAAATGTGCAAAGTGAATTAATGTTCATATTGTTCCTGGTATATAAAACTATTCTCTTGCACTAAGGTGCATTCTCTGTAGGAATAGTTCTCAAAATGTGTGTGCATGTGTGTGTACGTACACACACATAATCCTGCAAGAGGGTGCTTCAAAAAGTTTTTGGAAAAGAAATTGAATTTTCCCCAAAACTTTTGAAAGCCCCCTCATACATACACACATGAATACACACAGTGGGGCTTCAAAAAGCTTGTGGGACAATTCCATTATCTTTTAATTCGATTGTTCCACACACTTTTTGAAGAACCCTCATGTATATATGTGAATATACACATACATGCTTACGGCTGTATATGTAACCATACGTAGACATTAAAATTTTTTTCTCTTTCCAACAGTTTTATTGGCACATAATTTACATATCACACAGTTGGGTGGTTCAATCATTAAATCAAGTCATGGCAATTATACAGTTGCCCCCATATTGATCATAGCCCATCCCCCCATGAATTAATCAATATGAGTTGTGCAATCATAATTGGTTCTAGTGCTCACTCCCCACGCCTGCCCTCATTACCCATTCCCCAAATTCCCTTTTCCCGCCCCATCACGTATCCCCCTCCCCTGCATTCCCTGTAAACACCTGTATCAGCCATAATTATTGTACAGCCATTCCTCCTGTGCCGCACTGCTGTGAACCCCAACAGAAAACAAAGAAAAACAAATCCCACTCAGGTGGTGAGGATAGGATGAAATTCGTGTAAAGACAACATTGGAAACAGTGTGTGTTTGTTTTAAATTTTAAGCTCACTACTATCCAATCAATTCCAACTCCTGGGAACCCTATAAGACAGGGCAGGGTCCCCGAGACTGGAAGTCTTCCCAGAGTACAAAACCTCATGGCTGTTGATTTTGAACTGGTGACTCTACAGTTGACAGCCCGACATATAACCCAGTATGCAACGAGGGCTCTGTGTGTGTGAATGTGTATGTGTGTGTATGGGTACATAAATTTTTTAACTATTCCTAAAAAGAATGTAATAGATAGCTAAGTCTTATTTTTATATAGCAATTATTTTCTAATTTCAGTAATCTTTTAGGGGAAAAACAGAATTTTAACCTACGTAAAGATTATCCTTCAAAATCATTAATCTCTAAATAGGCATATACTCATCAAATTAGAACTCTTGTTGCAGCTAAAGTTTTTATTATTATCTTACCCACGGATTTTCATCATCTAGTATAAATATCTGTTGAATATTTACTCACCAATCAGATGATGCTTCAACAGAGTAAAAGTCAACACTTGCTCTTAAGTACAGAGTTGAATCGCAGGTCGGTTATCTGAATCAAGGCCACAAATGAACTTAGACTATCAATATAAAATGAGGGCTTCACTTGTTAACAAGGTAAACCTTCCATAGCTAATATAAAATACTGTATCTTAAAGGAAGAGAAATAGCAGTGAATGGTAAAACAGACCAAGCAACAACAAAACTCCTCTCACTTAAGTGGCTTTATCTGACTTCTTTCCCTACAATTCTGTCCTTTTTTAAAAAAAAAGTACACATGCTCTGATATTTCATATTTTTATAGTCATGCTTGCAATTATATAGGAAGCATGGATCATTTCCACATTATTATTATTAATGCATAGCTCCCAGGTTATCATAGCAAAGAAATCCCAGCTTTTTAACTAACTGTATACATCATCTTATTACTAAATCCAAACGTCTACCAAGCTTGAAAATGTTGTGTCCTAACAGATTCTCGGCAAAGATGGGCGTACTTTAATTAAGCCAACATAGTGTGCCTTGGGCGCTCACCCTGTCCTGCTAGGTAGGAGGAGATTTAGTCCATCTGTAACGTAAATCCTATCCTGCTTTGAACTTAACTACGGTTTATAATTGTGAGGGGGGTTTTCATGCATTTTAATGTGTTTCTTAACATTTCTCTTTTATGTATTGTGTGTGTGTTCTCTGCAGACTCCCAGACCTTTAAACATCATTAAACAAAACAACGGTGAACAGATCATTAGGAGAAGAACAAGAAAGCGCCTTAACCCGGAGGCACTGCAGGCTGAGCAGCTCAACAAACAGCCAAGGGGTAGCAGTGAGGACCAGGTCAATGGAAGCCCCTTAGAGAGGAGGTCAGAAGATCATGTAACTGAAGGGCACCAGAGAGAAATTCCACTCCCGAGCCTGAGTAAATACGAAGCCCAAGGTTCATTGACTAAAAGCCATTCTGCTCAGCAGCCAGTCCTGGTCAGCCAAACTCTGGATATCCACAAAAGAATGCAACCTTTGCACATTCAGATAAAAAGTCCTCAGGAAAGTACCGGAGACCCAGGAAACAGTTCATCCGTCTCTGAAGGGAAAGGAAGTTCCGAGAGAGGCAGCCCCATCGAAAAGTACATGAGACCTGCAAAACACCCCAATTATTCACCGCCAGGCAGCCCTATTGAAAAGTACCAGTACCCACTTTTCGGACTTCCCTTTGTACATAATGACTTCCAGAGTGAAGCTGATTGGCTGCGGTTCTGGAGTAAATATAAACTCTCCGTTCCTGGGAATCCGCACTACTTGAGTCATGTGCCTGGCCTACCAAATCCTTGCCAAAACTATGTGCCTTATCCCACCTTCAATCTGCCTCCTCATTTCTCAGCTGTTGGATCAGACAATGACATTCCTCTAGATTTGGCGATCAAGCATTCCAGACCTGGGCCAACTGCCAACGGTGCCCCCAAGGAGAAAGGCAAGGCCCCCTCCAGCGTAAAACCGGAAGGGCCCTTGAATGCAGTCAAAGCCGAGAAAGTGGATCGAAGTACTCAAGATGAACTGTCCACAAAATGCGTGCACTGCGGCATTGTCTTTCTGGATGAAGTGATGTATGCGTTGCATATGAGTTGTCATGGTGAGAGTGGACCCTTCCAGTGCAGCATATGCCAGCATTTTTGCACGGACAAATATGACTTCACCACGCATATCCAGAGGGGCCTACATAGGAACAATGCACAAGTGGAAAAAAATGGAAAACCTAAAGAGTAAAACCTTAGCACTTAGCACAATTAAATAGAAATAGGTTTTCTTGATGGGAATTCAATAGCTTGTAATGTCTTATGAAGACCTATTTAAAAAAATACATAAAAAAGAAAAAAAATACAACAAAAACAACAAAAAAATTCTTTTTTCCTAGAGCCTGCCTTATCCAACATGAAATTCCCTTTTATTATTCTTTCTTTCGATGAGTAGGTTACCAAGATCAAAAAGTGAGACCAGGGGTCATCGAGAAAAAGAGAGAGATGGTGGACAGTCGATTTTTAGAACCCAGTAAGCCAAACCCACCTTGGCTGATGAGTCCTGGGGAAAGATCACCAGAGACAGAGAAACGTTGTCTAGAGTTTTGAAAGAGTTTCCGTATTGCGATACTACAGCCGTAAGGGGCTGGACCATTAGCTCATTGGTTGAAAACGTATCAATCCATTGCCTAAGTTGAGAAGTATCATGAGAGTCTAAGCAGAGGAGGAGAGCTGTTCCCCGCTGGGACAGGGAAAGGAACATGGCGCCCTCTCCAATCTAGTCCCCTCTCCTTCAACCGTGTTTCAGATTGAGACCTAGAACTGGGATCTGTGGTTAGGCGTGGTGAGGGAGCAGCAAGACGAGTGACAGATGTGGCACACTGGTTGTGGTTAGCCCTGCCTGTACATACACATGCACACCCTCTGTTATTTTTGTCCTTTAGATGTTCGAATACTCAGTAGTCCTTTTTTGTTTACCATTTAGGTTCATTTTGTCCAAATATATGTGCATTTTTAAAAACCATGTCCTCAGTGCTTACGTAGTATTGTTATTTCAGCCAGGCGTTTCTCTCTCGGATGCGATGAACCAGTTGGGATTTGGTTTTTTAAAAGGTCCTCTTGGTCACTAATCTCACTTGGCACATTATGACGACAGGCATCTCTTAGTTCAAAATACAAGATGTACACAAAAGTCAGACCATGGGCTTAATTTGTATCAAACACAAGGTATCTCTTCACAAGGTAACCTGCTGTATTTATTTATTTTCCTTCGGTTATATATAATTTCCAAACGTTGTGGTCAGGCAGAGTCTAAGGTTTCCTTACCACAGACTGACAGTTGGTATATGTACTAGTCAATCCCTTCCGTAGATTTAGACAGGTTTAGTTAAGTAGCATTAAATAGGATTCTTCGAAGTATGTCTTCATAGTACTTTTAATACTTTTAAGGCTTTGTAAAACTATCCATGAAGGGAAAGCTCCTCAGCATAACTGCTCAGGGAAATAGGGCTAAATAACTGAACATTACAACATTGGTTAAAGGTGCTGTTAGTCGAACCTCAATGCTTGCTACAAGGATGTATGTACAGGGACTGACTTTGATAATTTGCATTATATTGTCCCGACCAGTAGTTTATTTTTTGCCACGGAGATGTAGAAGATATTACAAGCTACTGGATGCACTGTCAGATTAACTTATTTCATTAAAGAAGTTGGGAGAACAAATAGGGAAAAAAACTTATTTTTCTAGTAAATATTAATGTATTACATTTCAAATAATGGTGCCTGACATATTGAATAATTATTTTCTACAGTGTACGTATGCAACAAAGATATTCCATCATGCATTAGAGTCGGTTCTGGCTCTGCCTAGCTGTTTACATTTGCAAATGTAGCAAACAAGGTAATGAAGCAACTATTTCTATTGCGGTAGATATCGTGTGTATGTGTGCGTGTGTGTATGTGTGTGGGTGTGCGCGCACGCGTGCATTCAAGTTGTAAACGGTAACATGAAACAATGAGAGTTCTTGATATAACGGTATGGAAAACAAGAAGGAAATGAAAATATTTTTATGCCTACTTAGGATAAAAAGGGTAGCACTATTCATTCCAAGTACTTTTTTTTTAAATTTTTAAGCTCTTAACTCACATTGTTACGCTTAAAATGATAAACATATATCTTCTTTTTATTGCTTTGTCTGTGTTTCAAAAGAAACATTTCAGAAATTGTTTTGATAAGTGCTGCTGGAATCTGCAGCACGGATATTTTTATTGCATTCTGTAGTCGCATTTGCACTCCATTTTTACATTAACTCGCAGTGGCTTTGTACTGTTTTGCTTTGTTTGGGTTTTGTTTTCTTTTTCACAGTGCCAGGTCTTTGTCCTTGAAAAGTGGGTTGGCAGGTAGAGTTTACCCAGTTAGTGACTGTTGCAGTGAATGAAGTTAACGGTGTCTTTCTGATGGTGTGTTATCATTTCCGTTCATGTTTTTCATTTTCATGTTTAAAACAAGGGAAATCAGGACTGAGTCATCTGCTTCAGTTTCATTGTGAAGGGGCCCCATTCTGATCTCATGTGTCGCACGTAGCTCCGATATTCACAGAGACCGAAATAAAGAGGTGGAGGGAGGAGCTGTGGCATTAAACTGGTGGAACATAGTTGATCTTTCTTAGGACCTTTGATATACACATCTCAGAATGTATAGGCTGACTTCAAAGGTGGCAATTACAGACCTAAAATGTAGGAGACTTCCCAAACCACAAAACAGTATTTTTTTCTTTTAAGTGAAGAGAATAAACACAAAGTGTGCTGTTGCCATCCTCCACTTTCCCTGTGGCCTGCCCCAAATAGCAAAATCCCAGAAGTTTGGTGAATTTGGGCAGTAGTGCAGGTGTTACTTTTGGGCAAAACTACCCCGGCAGCAATTTCTCCACTGTGTTAGACACAAATAGATTGTTTGTTTTTTACATTTACATCTTTTTTCATTCGATTGTTTTTTTCTTCTGAAACATAGTACCAATGACTAGCATTGGAAAATACATATCACTATTCTTGGAATATTTATGGTCAGTCTGTTTTCACCAGGCTACTCTTGGTTTGCATTAACACGATAGTTCTTACTTCATATTCTATTGTTGATTATTTTCATTTTTTTATTTCACTTTTATACCTAAGTTGGTGAAGAAGAGATGGGGCTTTTTAAAAAAGACTATAACTTATGATAACACTAAAATAGCCCTCCTCTTTCCTTCTCATCTGTTTAAAACCTTTGTTCCATCTCTGAAAATACTATATTATAAAAATGGTATTTTTTTGTTTTAATATTTTTAAATAGTTTTCTTTTAAAGTGTGATTTTAAATGAGCTATTTAGGTACTTAACTTTTTTTTTTTTTTTTTTAGAACTTTCAAGATGATTTAGGAATGTTGGAAAAGGTTTCCCCCATGCCGAAAACTATAGGCCAGCTAAAAATAGTAATGCCATTGAAAACTGTAGGTCTTTTCAAATGACTCCTTGTGTATATTCTGAATCAAGCTTTGCATCAAACTCTAGACCAGCACCAGCTCATGCATTTTCACGTTTTCTCACCACTCTTTCTCTCATCATCTCTTACCCACATAGTTGTACTATTGTTTGGGAGAGGAAACCATACATTACAAGCCAACCCACCTCCGAAGGTTGTGTTTTGAGAGACACTAGGCGACTCATATATATATGAGAAAAGGATGGAGCTCTAGACAGTAGCAAGTTAAAAAACTCTGTTGTTCAGAAGAAAAGAGTGTGCCCAATGCTTTCTACATGCCATATTGAGATGTTCTTTTTGGGAAAAAAAAAAAATCAACTGTTAAGGTAATGACGTTCTGTTCTAAGCTATTCTCTTTTAGTAAAGGTAGATTTTAGACAATTAGCCTGGGGTCTCTTCTCTGAGGTAATGTTAATGAGAAGAAGAAGAAGACAACGCTTATTCTTAACAGCTCTGTGTCGAAGCCTGTGGTAGCACATTATGTTCCTGACTGCACATGTGCACGTAATCTATGATGACCCAATGCAGATACAGCTCCAAAAATATTAAATGTATACATATTTCAAAATGCCTGAGGAAGTACGTTTTTCTTAATAAATCGAGGAGTATCAATAATGCTATTAGCATAATTATTAGCTTCCTGGTGTGTCACTGCGAAACATCACAAATGGATCCTCAGAACTGCCTGCCTGATGAATTTGTGAACATTAAGGCCTCTCTAGAAGGTGGGCGGAGTGGGGGTGGGGGGGCTGTCTGCCATCCAGCCGTGAAAACTCCAGTGGAGCAAAAAAGGTTTGCAGCTGTGTGCCAGCCTTTTGCTTATAGCTTTGGTGCATTCACAGCTACCTGTCTTTCGGTTGAAGGTTGGGGCGTCCTTTGTGAGCAAGTCATTATAAGCTTGCTGACAGTCCGAGATCACAAGAGAAAGCAAGGAATTGCTTTCCAGCCTGAAGATCAGCCTAAAGGTGTTCAATGGAGGTAGGTACTGTCAGGTGGAATTCGATCAGCTGCCACTGTACATGAGAAGAGGCTAGCAGGACACGCTTCAGGACCGTGAAGACCGGCAGGGCTGTTTCCCCAAACACTCGGCCAAGAGGAGAAGGCAGTGGCTTCTTGGCAGAGCGCCTCTTGGCGGTTCCCCAGGGCTGTTTCACAGACGGAGGACCCCGGGTCCTGATGGCAGCCACGGGCATTGCAAAGGCCTCCACACTCATTTGCAGTCATTAGGACCTCTGGAAGATGCTGGGGCAGCATGTCTCGTGGCAGGGGTGAAGAAAATGTGAAATTCAACATTGATGCCCACATGCAAACTGGATAGTGTATGTTCAAGGGTGGTTCTCTTGAAGCGGTAAGCTTCTTGCCATCGTGCACCAGCCAGAGAAGAGCCTGTGGACATTCACCATGGGAATCCTGTGTCACTTTCATCAGAGAAAACGGTCCTTCCAGACCCCTAGGTCCCAAAACTCCTGTTGGTTTTTTTCATTAATATGACCTGCAGCAAATCACTTTTTCTCTTTTGTGCCTCAGGTTCCTCAGCTGTAAAATGGGAAAAAAAAGAAAATATATTAATAATAATATTATTAATAATAATAATGGTAAAGTAGTACTTGTTTGTAAAGCACTTTGAGATCCTTGGTTAAAAGGCACCATGTGTGTGCCAAGTATTATTATATGGCCAAGGGGCTTATTTAAACTCTCAGTTCCCAAAGGCCAGGATAGGTTGGGTTGTTTAGTTTTGTTTTGTTTCAGATGAGCTGTAAATATCATAACCAGACAGCCTATAGTATTGACTACAAAAAGGCAAAACTATTACAAGGCTGATAAAACCATAGTTTCTTAATGGCTACCAACAAGGCAAATATTACAATAACAAATGCCAAATTCCTTAGAGTGGAACTATTTGACAACAACATGAATATTGTGCAGTGGGGGGGGGTGGCGCTGGGGACGGATAAGATGGGGATGGGAAACATCTCAAAATGCCAATGTAAAATTAGCGTACAGCAATATTCACCAGCAGAAAATGCCTTTAGTATGGAATGATTTCATGTTGCTAAGAAAAATAATTCAATTTGTAGTCCTGATTTGAGTATTAGAATGTTGGCTATAATGGTTCTGTTCTTACAACACGGATTTTTTTAAAATTTCATTTTGTTTTCATAGTGCATGTTCTCATTTCTCCTCACAAACATGTCCTTGGTGTATTTCTTATGCAAACAATCTTCAGGCAGCAAAGATGTCTGTTACATCTAAACTTGAATAATAAAGTTTTACCACCAGTTACACATAATGGTGTTGGTATGGTTTCTATGGATTCACATTCATCCAAGTAGCAAGAGGGAATACAGACCATTGTAACAGATTACTTGAGATGGTGAAATCATTTCACCATTTTATATGTAGATAGATATATATACATATATATATAACTAAGTTTGATAAAACCTGGGTTCTTTCAAGTTGTTTTGCTTTGCTTTTTTTCCCTTTAACCAACCAATTTCTTATTCATAGGTTTTGTGTAAAAATATACATATATTAGTTTCTTTAGGAAAATTCACAATAAAAATTATGTTTATTTCAAACATAACTATTGAGTATCCAATATTGAGTTGTGAGTATCGGCTGCTGATTATATCAGAATTCCTGCCTTTGAAGTCTGTCCTCAGTTCAGTAAACCCACATGAAAAAATGGCATCAATCATGTCCTTGTGTTTTAAGTTGAAAATGGAATTAGCCAGAGGTTTCCTAAAGGATGATTTCGAAAGAAGGTAAAAGGTAGAAGAATTCCAGATCCAAACGGACACAGGAAGACTCGTTTGAGTGTTTTTAACCAGAAGGAAAAGCACAAAAGAATAGGACATCAAGTCCATGTGATTTTTTCCTCCAGAAGCTTTGTTTTGAAAACTTCACATTAATTGGTGTCTACCCTCCTTGCACCATCCTCATTGCTCAAGTCTGTGAACCCAAATCAACAAATCCTTTGATAATGTCTCCCCCCTTCTCCCTCCCAAGCGCCTTCCCTTCTCCCTTGTTTTGAAAACAGCCGAGAGGAGACTTTGAGGGGCTTTCCGGCTGGAGGCGATATCCGCTAGACAACAGGGCGGCTCTAAGGCTTCTGCCATGTCGTCGTCTCCTTTTGTAGAAGCTGATTCTTCCATCCCAGACAGCTTTCCAGCTAGAGTTGAACACACTTTGTTCTCACCCAGCTTGATCAGAAGCGCATGAAAGGAGAGACTTGTAGCGGAAGGCTATATACCATTGTCTGTGGGGAGAGGAGGCAGGGGACTGAGTCAGTACTGTTGCCCCAACCCCACCTTGTGGTCTGCCACCTACCCGGGGGACAACACAGATGGGTCATAAACTCAATTCCCTAAAAGGAGCAGGCAAGTAGCCTCCTCTGAAGCCAGCTGGGTGGAGGTGGAGCAGGATGGCTCCTTCCCCATGGACAAAGGTAGTTTCTCTGCCTTTCAGAATATTCCCAAGGAAGTGATGCTGACTACTGTTCCCAACATTTTCAGAAGGGTGGAGAGGGGCGGGGGTGAGGGATTGGACAAAGGAAATTTCTTATGAAATTTTCTAGCTTTTAAATGCCAGTAACTTTTCCTTAATGTGAGCCAACCAACACACTTGGAAAAACTAAGTTCTCTCTAGTCTGCCAGCGGGGAATAGGGAGTGCTGGTGGCTGGCAGTTGGGAACTTGTGCAAAGAGCCGAGGGTAGTTGTGGTTCTGGGGTTTGTCTCAGGTCCCAGTGGATCTCCAGCTGTGCCAGGACCGCACCTGCCACGTTCCTTCTGCGCCAGGTTTGCTGGGAGCAAGAACATTTGCACAGAGATGAGCCACTACTCTAAGCACGTTGAAAAAGGACCTAGTGCTTTTGTTCTGCATCTTGGTAACTGCAGTTCTGTTGTTTTTAATATGCTGATGTAACCAACTTGACCTTATGAGAAAAGAGCCGCCCAAGCCATTCAAACCAAACATGAGCAAACTCACTGCTCGG